AGTATTGCAGCCGTCACCTGCGCCTGCAACTTGCCCACGAACCCGCACGCGGCGCTTATCGAGCCGCCCGCCGCCGATCTCGGCCGCCGGATCATGGCCGAACTGCACGAGTTCAAGACCGAGCGCAGCGCACTCGCGTACGCGCACAACGTCGCGTCGGTCCTGCTTGCCGTGGACCAAATGGTGACGCACGTTGCGGACCTGCGGCACTGGCTGCGCCGCGCGACGAGCTGGATCGCGACGGCCGAGTACCGCCGACTTCCCGGTTGGTCGGTCGCAGACGTGCCGCGGCACACGCACGTGCACGCGCGGTTTGATTCGGCGCGGAAGCAGATTGTATGGCGGCCGCCGGCCGCGACGACATGCGTCGATCCTACAGCAGGCGACGTGGACGCAGCCGACACCGTTGATGCCGCAACGCGCGCCGAAATCGACACCCTGTTTGCGCTGCTTCCGACGCACATTTGCGATGCAGTTACGGCGCTGCCCGACGTCTACACTGACTTGAACGAGATCATCATGGACCTGGGCCGTCCCGTGCAGTTGCGTTTTTTTGGCGTTCACGCCGTCGACCTCGATGTGCCGAACGTGACCGCCGCGGATTTGCACGCCGTCTACGACGGGCGCACGTGGTCTTCGGACCGGCGCGGCGGGATTGACGGAATGCTGCACCGCATCAGCTGGATTGCCGACCGCGAGAACGAGGTTGTCGGACTCACGATCCGCGTCGGGCGTGCGTGCCCGCCGGGACACGGCGTCGCACAGATGCTGCAGGACATGGTGGAGGCTGGCGAATCGGTGCTGATTTTGGGAAAGCCGGGGACGGGCAAAACGTACGTCGTCGTTTTCGTATTCTTGCATCCGACCTCTACGCTCACCACCGATTCCCTTCTCTTCTCCAACACATAGCCACACTCTCCGCGACATGACCGCGCGCCTGAGCGACGCTGGCCACCACGTGATGGTCGTCGACACCTCCAACGAAGTCGGCGGTCCCGGGAACGTCCCACACGCATCACTTCACGGCGCACGGCGCATGCAAGTCAAGCATCGCGACCGGCAATTCGAAGTCCTTCTCGAAGCCGTGCAGAACCACACGCCGGACATGGTCGTGATCGACGAGATTTCCGACGCGCGCGAGGTGGCCGCGGCGCGGTCGGTCGCGACACGGATTCGCGGCATGGTCGCGACCGCGCACGGCACACTCGATTCGATTATGCGCAACCGGGCGATGCGCGATTTGGTCGGTGGGCTCGTGACGGTCACGGTCGGGGACAACATGGCGAACCGCGATTTGGCCGGACGCAAGTCGGTCACGCAGCGCGCGGCGGACGCGACGTTCACGACGGTCGTGGAGTTGCTGTCGCGCACCGAGGTGCGCGTGCTGCGGAATATGAACCGCGTCGTCGACGCGATCTTGAAGCCGGGAGCGACGGTTTGGGCTGAGCGGCGTTGGTTGCCGGCGCGGGAAGACGGGTCCGGTGGAGAGTGGTTCTGGATGGCTGTTGAGCCGTACCGCGACGTTGACAGGGATGGATTCCACATTTAGATTGTTGGTGTATGGCTCAGTTGCAGTGTTTTAGAGGTGAATGGATTTGTTCTTTTTCATTTTTTTCGCGCTCGTCACCGTCTCAGAATCCACCAAGTCGGACCAACAAATGAAACACTGCGTTGCGAAAAGGCTGAACAATCACAACAAGGTGAGCGGGAGAAGTAAGAACCGGTACGACTCGTCCAGATTTGGAACATGGAGCAGGGTTATGAGGCATCAGAAGGTTCGGCCAAACAAAACCAGTCCCGACCAAGCGAACTTGGTCGGAATCGGCTCCCAATCTGCTGCATTGAGGCCACGAGGGGGGCTCGCAGTGGAAGCGATATTGAATTCTGCACAAAGCCAGAGAACATGGCCTCTGATGTGATCTGGCGTCCAGGCAGGGTAGTCGCATTGCTTGAATGTAACTCCTCAAGTCAACTGAGCCAGCAGAGGGCATGAACATGGGTCAAGATGTATCACGACTGTCGGTCTTCCTGTGAGCGATCAGCGCTGGCCGTACTGGCTGGCCATGCTCATTCGCTCAGCAGGGTGGCTGCCTCAAACCACGACGGGCGGTCCATCCTTGCACACGGACCGCCGCTTTGATTGTCGGGGGGCTCCCCTGACGCAGATCGCATTTCGTGCTGGGCAACGGAATGGGCACGCTTGCAAGTGGCGCGCACTGTTGCTCATGTCAGGTAAGGGTCACGTGCGAGTGAAGTGGAGGTGCGAGACACGTGGGAGACGCACAATCAGCGTTGCGCCGTGGCTCACGTGCCCTCACGGCCTCCGTTGCTGCGTCGTTTGGCGCGATCTGTTTCTCTGCTGATCTCGGGAAAACGGCATGCGAGTACCGCCCGCCTGTAGCAGCAGCTGCCTTGCGTAGTAAACGGCCACCATGGCCGTGCTTTGGGAAACCTGATGGTCGTGGTCACTGTTGACTGAAGTTCATGCTCTCTGCTGGCTTAGTTGCCATGTGGAGTTGCATTCAAGCAATACAACTGCCCTGCCTGGACGCCAGATCACATGTCCTCGGGTTTCGTGCAGACTTACACATCGCGTCCGCTGCTAGCCCCCACTGTGGGCAAACTTGGTCGGATCGGTGTGTTTGAAGTCAAGTTTCCTTTTGATGTTGCTCATGACGCGTGCGTGCATACACATTGGATCAAGTATATTACACGGTACTCTGGACAACTCGTACCAACGCCGCACGACAGGACCGGATCATCGACGCATTCGCTGTCGCTCCAAAATCACGACAGCGGCACCGTCATGGTGCGCTTGCGCACGGCCGTGAGCATATCTACCGCCGATATAAAAGAACGGATCAGTCAGCCACTCCATCCCGGATCAACCTCGGCGAAAAGAAACGTACCGCGCGCTTGGTAGAACAGCAGGTAACCTGCGGCCGTCGACCCGGGCGGGTCGGCGTCGGGCTCACCAAAGTACTTGGCCAAGTGCGCCTCGGAGACGAGCTCGACCGACTCGTCGTCGAACAGCAGCCACCGGTCGTAGGACCGCACGAGCGCAACGTAATGGCCGTGGTTGGGCGAGCTGCCAATGTGCACGACAATCGCAAACAGGTCGTACATTTGGTCGGTCGAGTCAGTCGTGTCGTTGCTCTACATTTGCGTGAGCGCGCGAAAGTCAGCCGAGTGATCGCGTGAATAGGTGGAGACGATGGGGCAAAAAAACGGACGAACCGGGTTGAAGAGCCGCAACTCGGTCGGGAACATGACGCGGTGCATGAGCTTGACGTATTTCTGCTGGTTCTCCATGTACTTGAACCGCTTGAGGTGCAGCGCCAAGACCGGCGGCAGCTTCTTGATTTTCATCCTAAATGTGCCGAACCAAAATCAGTCAAATCTCACCCCCACTCGCGAGCATCGCGACCCGAGAAAGCAAACGGACATGCGCTCAGCCTCCTGCAACCCGGCACACGTATCGCAGTAAAACTTGTCCTTGTGGCAGAGCATTTCCGACTGGCTGTAGCTCCACAGGCACGACGCGATCGACGAGTTGGCCTCGACGTCAATACTCAGGTCGAGGAAGCACTCGCGCGTCTCAGTCGTGCTCTCGCACGTCAAGCACCGAATCTCGGTCGCGAGCTCGCCCTCAAACAGCTCGTGAATCCACGTCTTGCCCGCGGGCAGCGTCGACGGCGCCGCCTCGTCATCGGTCTCGTTCTTTTTGCGCTCGGCGAGAATCAGCTCGGCAATCGCGTTGAGCATGTAGTTGAGGAACTCGTGTGCGTCTTGCTGCTGCGTGGATCGGAACAGGACTATCGAGACCGGGGTATCCACGTTGGTGAGCGCGACGCACCTCGCGCGTGGCGGGATGAACGATGCGCAGAATGCCGCGCAACGTACTGTTCTCTTTCTTGACCTTGTCCGAGAACCCCTTGGGCCCGACGACGCCCGTGCGCTTCTTCTGCGCGGCAATCTGGTAGTAGAGTTCCTTGAGATGCAGCAGGAGCGTGTCGTCCGGGTTGCCCGTGACCGTAATGGCCGCATTCGCGCGCAATCCCTTGGGCAGCTGAATCACGGGTTTCCCGTTTTTCGCCGTCGCGCCATTGTTATTGCTGCCCGTGCGGCGGCGCAAGAGGTTTGGACTGCTGCTACCGACAACGGGCGACTTGCTCCCACCGCTCTCGTCCGTGTCGGAGGTGCTGCCGCTGTCCGGGTCGGCGCCCGACTCGCCAGCCGACGTGAACGTGGACGGCAGTAGCTCGGCAATCGACTGCAGTGCCGGGAAGTGCAGGATTGATTCGCGGAACGGGCGGCAGAAGTAGAGCGCTTGCAGGACCGAGTTGCAGTAGCTGGAAGTGGACGGGCCGTCAGCGATCAGTTGTCGTGCTCGTGGTTGGGCCCATGGACGGCACGGACGGACCAGGTGTTGCCAAACTACGGTCAGAACCGGTCGCGGTCGCGTTAGCGCCGTCCGACAGTGCAAGCACGCCCAGCGAACAACAGCGGCGTACGTTTTGCAGGCCATAGTATCGCTCATTGCCCTCGATATCGGCCGGGTGCATGGGCGCGCCGGCGTGCGCGGGCTTGCCCGTGCTATTGCTGTTCTGCCGCGGACAAGGGCGCGTCAGAGACGACACGGGCGGGACGTTTGGCCTGTTGCGTCGGAGCTCGCGGTGCCATACCGAGCCGAGCCACTTGAACATGGATGGGTGGGGGTGGAGCAGAAAGGCGTTGGATGACCACGACGGTTCGAGAAGCGAGCACTGCCGTTCTTTCGACGTTGATGGCAGCGGGTTCCGGTCGGGTTCGAATGCACCAAGTTGGTTGCGGCTCGACTTGCAGATTACTCGTCCTGCGGCGTGGTGTCGACGAGGAAAACGACATCGATTCAGTGTGCTGCGGGCTTTGTCGCGAGCGACCCTGGTTAGGACCCGGAAAATTCAAGGCCCAGATCTCTCAACGGCAGCTTAGCTCAGCGGTTAAGCATAGTCGGCCTTGTCACCGTGGTGTAGTGGTTATCACGTGAGTCTCACACACTCAAGGTCCCCAGTTCGATCCTGGGCGGTGACATTCAACACCGCGAGGTGGAGTTTCGGCGCCATCGAATCTATTATGTTAACGTATCGTTTTGTCAACGTGCCGGACGCTGCCGCTCGGCTTGTCGTGTATTTATTTGAAGCCAGGCGAACGAACCGCTCTCATTTTGCAGGGCAGTCCAGGCACTGGCTGGCATACCGCGCGGCTCGTGGCCACAGCGAGCAGCAGGAACGAGGAAGCGGTTGTGTGGTTGTGGTCGCAACGACCGTTGCCAGACACACATACGCGACTCGTCGTTGGCCGCGACACGCAGAAACCGCTCACCCAACGTACTCCGCGCGACGCCACCTGGCGCACTCGCCCGCCTGCAGCTTCAGCATTCGTTCTGGCGAGCGCCCCGGCCGTCGGGGTCGTGCCGACTGATCGCTCGCCGGCCTTGTCGACCTGCTTTGACCCGACCACGAGCGACTCTTGCGCAGCACCTGCATCGCTCCCGCCGTATTGCCGCCATGGATCGTATTCTCCGCGCCTGGGATGCCAGCCACCGGTCGTCGACCACGTCGAGCGCCGGTGCGCGCGCGTCGCGCACGCCCACCGACATCGCTCAGCTGTTGCGGTCGCGCGCCACGGCCACATCCTCGCCCTACACGTCCGACGACAAGATTGTGCTCGACATTGGGTCGATGTACACCAAGGTCGGGTTTGCTGGCGAGCACTCGCCGCGATTCTTGATCCCGAACCGCGCGCGCGGTGGTGGGCCCGTCGGGTCGGCGCCGCCCGCGGCCTCGCACGTTCACGCTGCCGCGTCGGGCGTGAGTGTCGCCGGCTCGTCGTCGACCGAGGGCGTCTACCCCGTGCAGTTTTGGGATGCTGGGTTTTTCGAAATTCAGCACGCGGGGCGGCTCGAGTTTTACCTGTCGGACCACCTGACGGATGTGTTTTTCCGGTTTTTGCTCACGGACCCCAAGGGGAAGACGCTGATTGTCTGCGAGGCGCCGTTCATGCCGGTGCTGCTCAAGCAGACGATTGCAAAAGTGCTCTTTGAGCGGTTCCGGGTACGTTGGCCCGATTGTTCACGGCATGGCGTGGAAATCACGGTTGGAACTGACGAAATGTGGTGCAACAGATTGCCACGCTGCACTTTGCACCCGCCGACTTGATGACGGTCCTCACGACGGGCCAGGCCGCCGGTCTCGTTGTCGAGTGCGGCCATCTCGAGACCACCGTGACGCCCGTCGTCGACTATCGCGTCATGTACACGCTCATCGACAGCATCCCGCTCGCGGGACAGGCCGTCATCGACAACTTGCAGGACCTGCTCACCAAGTTTGGGTCGCTCTTAACGCCGCTCGACGGCCTGCGCGAGGACCCGAAAGCCGCGGGCGTTGTCTCGCTCACGCGCCCGATCCCGACCTCGTCGGCGAGCATCGCGTCCACGTCGCCGCTCTACCGTGTCCCGGCACTCTCTGCGCTGACGAGATTTTGGCTCAAGTGGTCCAACTGGGCCCTGGGCTTGGCCAGCCGGTTTGCTGGACCCGATACGCTTGCCCTTGCCGCGGGCGTGGGCCACGGGCACACGCTGATCCCGTGGTCCGACAAGATCGTCGACTATCTTCTGACGACCGACTTTCTCGAAGACATCAAGTGCCGCGCGCTCTTTATCGGCGACGTGCCCGTTCCCTCCGAGTTTGTGACCGTAACCGAACCGACCGAGGAGGAGCTCGCGTCGGCCGACACCCCACCGACGCCCACGTCGCAATCAGCGCCGTCCGTCCGTTCCTCATCCCCCGCACCGTCCTCGTCGCGGCACCTGCAACGCCAATCGTCCATGTACGTCCCGCCGCAACTGGCGTCGCCGACGTCCGCGATCCCGCGCGGGTCGCCGCAACTGCGTACGGCGACGCTCGGCCGCCCGGACCGCGTCGACCGCGGACGCACCAACTCGCCGCACCGCCCACCGGCCGGCCGGTCCACGTCCGTGCCCAACATGCACTCGGGCGGGTACTTTGACACGCCGTCGATGCCCGTGCCGGCGATCCCGACACAGTACAGCGCGTCGGCGTCGACGACGCCCGCGAGCGAGCAAGTCCCGCCGCCAACCTCGGGGATGCCGAGTTCCGACGACCCGCACCTGTTGCGGCAGTACCGTATCTTCAAGTCGACGGCATCAACCGTCTACTACCCGCTCGGCGAACGCGGGATCTGGATCGCGAATAACCGCAACATGAAGCTGATTTTGCCCGGGTGGGTACGCGAGCGCGCGGCCGAGGTTCTGTTTGACGGGACCGCCGAGTCGGACGCGCGCACCGTCGCGACGATCGTTCTCGACGTGCTCGCCAAGTGCCCGCGCGACGTGCGCGGTCTCGTCGCACGCAATATCGTCCTCTCCGGCGGGACCGTTCTCCTGCCCGGATTCGAGCGGCGGTTCCGCGCGCAAATCTTCCACCTGCTCGAGCAGGACCGGCTGCGGAAAAAGAAGATTAACCGCACCAAGCGGCCGATGGTCGCGCGGCCCGCAGCGACGCCGTCGCCCGAGGCTGGGTCGAGCGATGATGGGTACTCCGAGGACGACGATGATTTGGACCCGCCGTTTGCGCAAACGTCGCCGACCGTGCCGAGGCAGACTCGGCCGCCGCCGCCGCCGCAGAAGCGCCGCGCGCCCGTCGACGAGATTGAGAATCCGCGGTGGCCGTCGCTGCATGGGATCGAGAAGATCATTCATGTTGTGACTCCGGGACATGGCCAGTTTCAGTGTGGGCCGTGGGTGGGGGGTACGTTGATTTTGGCGCGTTGGCAGAGTCGGGTTTGGGTGAATCCTGGCGCGGAATACTGACCGTCGTCTTTTTCTTGTATCCTAGCGTCCCTCGCCGCGTCGCTCAAGATCCTCGGCCAGTCGGGTCCGACCGAAATCACGGCGCAGCGGTACGAGTACTGGAAGCGCAACGAGGACGAGAGCTGGCTCGTCAAGGATTGGGCGTTCACGGCGTGATGCCCGAGTGATCGGTCCTTCCCCGCGGTTATGGTTCGCTCTATTTTTGTGTTACTTCAGGATCCAATTTTGGTTTTGGCTGGCAGCGGGATTGGCCACCCAGTGTGTAGTCATAGGAATTTGCAGCTTTTTTGCAGCACACTCAATTGATTCGATAGTTGCTTGAGCCAACGGCAGAGACACAAGACCATCAAGTGAAGCGAACGGTTGTCACGCTCAGGCTCTTTCTTGTTCACCATCTTTGCGCGATTCTGGGCGAGCGGTGAGCGATACCTCGTCGGCTCAACCAAGATCGACTACAGCGCCATAAAGCGTACAGACGTAGACTCCAACAGACCCGATGAAATACGTGCGGATTGCAGCTGGCTGTAACGCGTGGAGCGTCGTCTACAAATAAAATGAGAAACGAACGGGTGCCATTTTTTCGAACCGAGAGTCCAAGAAACCCACTCTGGACGTTGTTGCACCCATTTTTTCGACTCTACCATGTGAGGAATCACCAGCTGGTGCTGTCGACAAGGAATCTTTGATCGAATGATCATGAGGCATTCCCCCACGCGGGTGGGGCGACGTAGATTGCACGAATCCCGAATCGAGCTCCATGATCCGCAGTTATCGTTTGTGACGCGCTGGCGCGGCTGCTGCTTTGAGCGCTCTTGCGCCTGCGCCGATTTTTCTGCTGTATTTGGGCGGACATGGGGTGCCAGATGTAGTCACAAAGGGTATACACTGTCAGGAATCTCTACCAGAGCAAGGCTGCAATGCTGGGCGGCTGGCCACAGGGTACCTGCTGTTTGGCCAGGCGCGGGGTACGTTTCCTTTTGTCGAGTCGACGTGGGTTGATTCGGCACGGAGTACTGATCGGCAATTGTTTTGGCGACGGCAGTTATGCTCGCGGTTGTCCGCAAGCGCACCATGCTGGTGCTGCTGTCGTGATTGGTCGTGTTAGGGGCACACTTGTCGCGCGGTGTTGGAACGTTGCACACGCGGACGAACTGACCAAAATCGGAAAGAAGGCCGCCATGTAATACACGCGTATTTGTATTTCGGGGACGAAACAGAGGAGATCCCGCCAAAAGCCATTCCGACCAAGCGAACTTGGTCGGAATCAGCTCCCAATCCGCTGCATTGAACTCGCAGCGGACGCGATGCTAATTCTGCTCCTTACAGATCAGGGTCACGTGCGAATGAAGTGGAGGTGCATGACTGGTGCGAGACAGGTGCGAGACGCGAGTGGCGAAGCAAACTTGCCGCCAACGCGGCCAAAATGACAATCAGCAACGGAGGCCGTGACGGCACGTGAGGCTCGCCGCACTTTGCGATTCGTTCCGCCACTCGCGTCTCGCACCTGTCTCGCACTGGTCATGCACCTCCACTTCATTCGCACGTGACCCTGATCTGTAAGGAGCAACGGCGCGTCGTTCGTTCAGCGCGATCGTTCGTGATAACGAAACAAGCTGCAAAATCTGTAGGGGGGGAGCTGCTCTCCACGTCACGGTATGCGAATACTGTCGCCGTGGCGACAGCAACCCTGCAGAGCGCTTGGCCATGGCGTCAACTCAAATGCCTGGCCGCTGCGCTCTGGCAAGTCCGACTGTCGCGATTCATTATGACCTGTGTTCGTGCTCTCTGCTGGCTCAGAACGTGCTTGGCGCATCTACCGATGCGTCCGTCGCCGTCTGGCCAGACCAACAGAGGCATGATCTCTGGCTTCCGTGCAATTTCGCATCACATTCAAGCGGTTTCCGACCGACCTGGCCCTGGTCGGAATGACTTGTTTTGCTCTTTTGGTCAATGGCATGCCTCTTCGTTCATCCTCCCACTCTTTGATTTTGCAAGAGACTGCAAGGCCCACTGTGATCTCCCTCTCAGCATGCCAGAACCCTAGAGTCGACAGTCTTTGTGGTCCAAAACGCTCTTGTCCCGTTTGATGGTGGTTCAGACGCGCGGGCGTTTCCACGATCCCCTCAAGATACACAGGAGTCTTTGACATCAAGTAAAGCAACGGTTTTGTTGGTATATTTTCCACAACTGCCACGAGCTA